TGTCCCTTTGCCCACTCGCAAATTGGTTACTTCTTGAAAACTCATGTATCTTACGCACGTGCGCAAGCATACACATATTTATAAATGCTGGTCTGTGCATAAACATATTATGTAGCTTAGGTGTTGTGAACATGCTTCCTAATTCCGCATACATACGGTTCGATTCCAGCTTTCAAGCTATGTAGCAGCAGACCGGTTTGAGTTAATTTCGACAACTGAATGCAGCGCCGACCGTTAAAAAAAAAAAAAAAATTAAGTGACATATTACTGCACATAAAAATTCCTCGTAACCTGCTAAATATATTAGGGCTAGTTCTAAAGTATTATAAAGGAAAAGCAGCTTACTTTATAACTTTTCTTTCTATACATGTATACGAGTAAGGTTGAAAAAAAAAATTAAATGTGCATAGAAATTACAATAACCGTGTCTTCTTCTGCCTTTCTAACCTTCAATGGAGCATAGGCCCTCAACTAACTCATGACAAGTCGTTCTATCCTTGGCGCATCGCATGCAGCTCTCTTTATGTCCTCCCCCCCCCCCTTTTTTTCAACGTTACTCTCTAGCTCCCCTCTCCGTGTGTTTTTTTCCTCCTATATTTGTGTGCGCCTGTATGTACCAGTAAAAAGACATTCTAGTTATATTGTCCTCAGCATGTGTCCTATCCAACTCCAGCGTCTTTCTTTTCACTTCTTGGTTCCTTGGAACTTGTTTCAGTCTATCCCAAAGCTCTAAATTAGTGATTCTATCATACCATTTAATTCCCTCTATTCTGCGCAGGCTCCGGTTATGATTTTTTTTTAGTTTATTAATAATTGCCTAAGCTGTTCTTAATGTTTCGGCTCCATACAACAGTACTGATTTGACGTTAGAATAAAAAAAACCATATAATTGTCTTGTAACTTGTTAGTTGCTAGTTAATGATGTCAAGTGTGCTGAGCCCATGCCATTATAGTGCAGACGTCATAATGGCAATTTTAAGATGGCCGCCCTACTTTTGACATGCAGCAAAGAGCAGCAGCATTCCGTTACCACTTTTCTTATTATCAGTAAACTTAACTTAGTTGAACATCCTTTACAAGATGTTGCAGAAACAAACCCCAGCATTTTCTTGGTGTTGTGGTTTTTCTAGGCAAATTTTACGTTTAGTTGTCTGAAGGCGGTGAAACCTATAAAAAAAATTCATCGTTGAAAGAAAGTCCAGTATAGTGAGCATGGGTGACAGTCCAGCGACTGGTGTATAGAGTGGGACGTTTCAAAATATTGTGACTTCTGTGACGGGCTGTTCACAACTAGACCAGGAATACCAGTTGGTAACCCCTATAGTCGACTGCAGCTATAGACATCTGATTCTGTACGCCAGGGTCAAATGGGATAAGGAAAGTCCACAATTCTTCCCTTACTGAGTAGATATTAGCGCAATAAACGGAACTAGATCTGTTTGAATAAAAGGCATACGCTCTTCCATCCCAATCACCTAGCTCTCGTCTTCAAAGTCTTAGTCGAGGTTTCCATTTCATTGCAATCGGGTTTCTCCTGACTTGTGCCGTTCCTATGCCTATGAAAATCAAATGAAATGTCCATGTTAACAAACATTTAGTCATAGGCGCAATACCGAAATATACCCACGCAGTAAATGCATATGGCAGTTGCTAGAGGCACCAAAGCTAACAGTTGCCACCAGAAATGCAGTTTATCGTTGATGGAAGTAGTCGGGCACGGTAAGCTGGACACACGTAGAATTATTACATAAGGTATTTCACAAGCCCACACTTAAACAGGCCATACTGAAAACAACGAGTCAACCGCTGCCTGAATGAAAGGCATTCCACATGGAAGAAAAAACAAAAACAGCTCACAGGGCTGCACCAAGCACTAAACTCTGTAACTCAGGCAGCGAAACCGTAAACTACCGTCTATATGTGGAAACTGCATTAGCAAATCGCTGTCAGAAGCAAAAAATAACTTCTAAGCTTAACATTCAGCCGTGCTTCGTCCTCCGTTTTAGACCGGAAGTTTTTTAATGTCGTCGTCGTCATCATCATCATCATCATCATTAGCCTCTCCGTGTGGGTACCGAGGTCTTATATCGTTTACAAAAATCACTGGGAATCGTTGCCCAAGCCACAGAGTTCGTGCTTTGTGTGACGCTTTCGGCAGCGGCTAGCCGTTTTACTGAGCAAGATCGAGCCATATGGGAAATAACCTAGTGCAATGAATCAGTCTACTCAAATTTAACGTTTTGTAACTGTATCATCAAGTGCCTTGCAGCGACTATGCCTATTCACGACCTGTGATCTCGAACAGCGTGCATTAGTTCATGAGCTGACACCCCTCCATGTCATGACAAAAGGTTGTCATGAATTTTCTCACGTTGTCTTTCCCCTGTCTCTTTGGGGCATATTTTCCAATGGTCACAATACGTTCCAGTTTCTATCTTTAAAAATTGGAAATTATACTTCTTTTGCGTTTGTCTTTAAAAGGGCCTGTTGGTACTTTATGTTGTCGTTTACAACTAGTTTGCGATATCTGCGTTGTTCAGCCCAACATATCCTATTTTAGCAAACTCCTTATTAGTCGCCTATTACGACATTTTTGTTAAAGTAGTCAAGTAAGGTAC